AATGCTTTGCAAGGAGGGTCCCCGCGCAAAGCATTCTGGGATAGATCTGCCTCTTCTGAGGCTTTTCTTGTCATACACTTCGTAGACACTTTCTCTTACGAACCTCTGCCACTTTCAAAGAACCGAGTTGAGAAAGGTGAGCTTCAATGACTGTAACATGCACAGAAAAAGATGGCTAATGGCACAAGCACGTAGGACGGCCTTACGTAAACATAACTAAGGTGCAAGAATCTCAATAATTGTCAGAAATAAAGCCAAAATTGCCGAAGTAGAAAGAAGGATGTTATTTGCTTTTTTGGAGCAAAGAAGATTTTATTGATCCATACAGAGAGCGAAGGGAAAAAGCATTCGAGTACTAGTTGGTAGTAAGTCCTTCCAAGCTGATGCACTGATGAGTTCTCCATGCACACAAACATTCAGTGTTTACTTTGAGGGGAAAGGCTGCAGATCAGTTCACCCCTAAAAGCACAAATGAAATGCAAGTTAAACTATTCAATACATAATGAATACTGTTGAAATTGCTGAGCTAAGTACTCTGCAAGTTTCTGGATTAATCTACAGATGTCTGACGTGTGAGGGAGCTGAGCCAATAAGCAAGTTATCCATTGACTGGCTGTCTTTTTCCCAGCCTTTAGAAGTGGTCTTGAGGCTGGGTTCTTCATTAAGGTTGAACAGTTCTGTCATAAGTCAGAGGCTAGGATAGAGCTCCTTCTCTCCCACATCGAAAGGAGTTGGAAAAGATGGTTCAGGCCTCTGAAAAGGATGCCTCCTCAATGTCTCCCCTTGGAGGTTTTCCATTATGTCCCTTTAAGGGATCAGAACCAGAATTTACTTTATATTCTTTTAAAGCTCGGGAACATCTTAGAGTCCTGGAAGGGGCTCAAAACCGTCACAGAGGGGAGGGATTTTTCCTGCTGGATCTTTCATCTGCAAAGACCTGATCCCAGGAGGAAAGGCAAAGACAGTGGGTGGTAATATGCATTTTATTGATCAACAGAACTAGTCTTAGCAACATAAACTTTTTTTTCTTTACTATTCATGAAAATGTCTTTCAGGTGAACTAATGAAGATAGAGTGAAACTTGGTACTCAACCTACAGTCAGTAATCCTGTTAATGGCAAAGCTGTCCGGTCCTCAAGTCAAATCAGCATCACAGTTTATGACAGTTAAAATGTTATCCTCTTTACACTCATTAATGATTTAACATAGAATAAGCTTTGAATTCACTTCTACTAGACTCAAAGGCGACCTGGGAAGAAAACCACTGCAAGGTCTGATAGCATTCATGTTGGCCAGCCCTCAGATTTAACATTTAACTCCACATCCATCAGTAGTCGAGACAGTGAAATTTATACAAGAGTCAATTAACCCAATACTGTTTTTAACTTAGCCTGTTTTTTCAGCATTTTATGGAAATTATCCAATCCGTTTGGCAGTGGTGCAGGAGCAGCACTGCTGCCTTGCAGCAGGAGGGTTCCGAGTTCGATTCCTGGCCCAGGGTCTTTCTGCATGGAGTTTGCATGTTCTCCCTGAGCATGCTTGGGTTCTCTCCTGGTACTCCGGCTTCCTCCCACAGTCCAAAAACATGTATGTTAGGCTCTTTGGCTTCACTAAATAAATTAGGTGTGAGTGTGTGTGTGTCCTTGCGATGGACAGGTGACCTGTCCAGGGTGTTCCCTCCCTCTCGCCCGCTGGAGACACCAGCACCACTCGCGACCCTGCTTGGGATACGTGTGATGGAAAATGGTTGGATGGATCCAATCCATTTTGGAACCTTAGCAACTTGCAATCAGAGACAACAACAAGAATACCAAAAAAATGTACTGATAGATGTATCTACCCTGTCATAGAAATTGATAACAAGATTTTATTTAAGAAATATATCTTGCCTTGATTTCCATTTAAGGAAGCATGTTTTTGACTGCCCTCCCTCTTTTAGATTACTCATATGCATATAAATGCACCAGCCACCACATATGTTAAAAAACATTTTATCATAGAGTATTAAGGTTCATAACAAGATATAGATCTTTAGTTCACCACTGTAATCTATATTCTCCGGTGGACTGGCCAACATTACCTTTATGTAGATTTGTACATTTTCATTTATAAAGCTGTTCTTGACCAAAACTCATTTTTGTCACTTAGACGGTCCCGCATTATTAAAAATCACCTTCTTATGCAACTCTTCTTCTATTTTATTATGTTCTGTAAATTGAATGTTTTAATTTACTCTATTTTTATTGCATTTGTAAAATTTATTTTTTTTGTATTATCAAATGGGGTGTGAGAAAAATTATTCTGTCAAATATTGCAATATTTCATTAGACGTGTTTCAAAATGCAACAGAATAGATCTTAAATGTAAGAATAATATACAGGCAGACATCAATTTCAGTGTCTTTCTTTGAAATAACCCTTAAGCTACTTGCTGTCAGCACAGCGCCGTAGAGCCTTTCATTCAGTGACACTGCACCAGCTGCAGAGGAACTCTAGAGGATTTCCACAGCTATATTAATATCAAAATTACAACATATCTTCTTTGTTTATGTATCAGGATGTATTGGGATATGTCATATCATGACACATGGATTATGATACGTATCGTATCCCCAAATTTTTGACAATGCACACACCTATTGTCAAAACAGGTTTCACTTGAAATTATGATAATGGATCTCAATGTGAATATCTGTAAATATAAAGGTTAAATATATTTAAAAAAAACTTGGTTTAAAAAAAAAAAAAAGCTACCTAAAGGCATTGAGGAGCATTACTACTAATTTTTCAAAAGACCCTGCCTCTCCAATTACAAAAAATGCATGCACGAGAGCATGCACAAGCCCATTCCTCCTTGTGCACGCTCCGTTTAAAAGTTTCTGTTCTCATAGCTCATACAAGCTTGCCGTGTCCGAACATCCACCCTAACCCCTAAATCCATTATTACTGTATAGAGCGGGGACTATATAGTGGCTTTATAGTGGACATTATAGTAGAATTTACATCAAACTGTGTTAACTGACTGTTCGGACAGATGTTCACTGCTTTTTGCTCCATTGGTCACATAGCTCCTCCTCCACTTTTGTTATTAGTTACCACTGTCACGTAGCGACAGCCTATGGCAACAGCGAGGCTCTGTGACAGCAATCCCATAATGCTTTGCAAGGAGAGCTCTCTGTGCAAAGCATCCTGGGATATATCTGCCTCTTGAGGCCTTCGTAGACACTTTTTCTCTTACGACCCTCGGCTATTTTCAAAGAACCGTGGTGAGAAAGGTGAGCTTCACTGACTGTCTGAAATCGTATCTCACCACAGATATATGCCTGAAAGTGCACATGCCGAGAAAAAGATAGCTAACGGGACAAGCCTTATGTAAACATTATCATCAGAATGACTGACAATTAGGAGGACCACTTATTTAGATGATCAACCTAGAAATAAAAGATTGTTCTCTATGCCTTTAAGTACTGGGTAACCAATCTACTTACAACTTATGATCATTGGAGGAGATTCAAAATGTTACAAAATGATGAAAATGTAAACAAATTGTTAAGATATGTGCAAATTCTGATGTTTGAATGAATGACCTAATAAAAAACATGTACCATACAGTAATTACAAAGAATAAATATAGGTCAAATGAACACGCTTAAAAATAATTTTTTTGAGTTTTAAAACTTTCAAAATCAATAATTACAGTATACTTTTGATTGTATTTTCAGTCAAATGCAGACTCATCAAATGGAAAATAACATTAAACCAATAAGCCTTGAATACAAAAGAGAGGAAAGTGTGTCCTCCCCTGAGGTATATTTGTTTAAAACAAGCTTGGTTGTGTCAAGTGAAGTTACACACTATGGGTTGAGTAGCAAGAAATGTTATTCAGGTAAAAGTAGTGATTATTAGTGATAATTTATTAGATTTTTACTCACGTAAATTGAAAAGTACAACGCAGTAAAAAGTCATAAACGTTTTATTTTCCAAAATTTACTCAAGTAAATATGTAACTAGATATTATCCACATCTGCTTAGTAAGTGCATCTTCTTACTGCATCTTCTTACTGCACCAGGAGATTACTACACTTGTTTTTGAGTAGACTTGTTTTCAATAGAAGATTAATATTATGTGTTAATTGAACTTTACTCTTTTTGCCAAGAAATTGGAAGCAATGACTTTTATATAAGTGTGTTTTTCTACTTGGACTCTTTTCTCTTTCACTTAACCTTTTATTAATATTATAGACACAACACCCTTAAAAAAGGATTGTGGACGGTGTCACTGACTGTCAGATATCTGTTAAGTCACCAGTCTTCTTGCATATTATCCCTGTTTTTAGAAAGCAGAACATTTTCAAGTTGGCAAATGAAAAAAAATGTTTTCTTTTTCACATTTAACTCTGTTTTGGGGGGTTCTCTCTTCTCTCACATCTTCTCTCCTCTACACTGTTTCTTTCTGAAGGCTTTATTTACTGTAATTATCTGCACCTGAAGCTCATTAGGAGTTTAGCTGAGGTTGGTCTCTATCATTCTGTGCATAATTTCTGTTTCTCCCTCTTTGACACTAGTGACTGCTCCTCTGATAATCCAACAGATCCGTAACTCAAAGATTTCCAGCAGACAGTGATCTGAAAATGTAAGGTTATCTCGGGTGTGAAAGGGAAGAAATAATTTTCTCTCCCCAAAGCGATGGACAGAAAACGAAAAGGAAAGGCAACAACAATTAGCTGTAGGATCAATGAGTGCGCCAACCTCCAGATATCAGGTAAACAGATTGCTGAGTGACCAGATTTGAGGATGGGAGGAGGATGAGGAGGAGAAGGAAGAAGGCCAGGGAGTGAAATGAGGCTGGATAATTAGGAGAAGCAGCCTGTATCCCCGAAGGAAAAGAGCAGCAAGCGCTGTACATGCAGCTATTTGCACCATCCCTCTGTCTCTATCTCTTTAAGAGCCACCAGGAGTGTGTGTGTGTGTTGGTGTGTGTGTGCTGGTGGGGGAGGGGTATAGGCTGGGGTGGAACAGTCCTGTAATGAGCAGATTTCATAGAGGCAGCAACAGAAAGGCCTAAAAAACCAGCAGGGGTTAGAAGACTTGTTGGGTATTTTACAACAACATCTCTGATTTAGGTCAACTCTGGCAAGATGATGACAGTGATGGAAGGAGAGGTATAACCGCTGCACCTGCATCCCCATCCTTGACATCCGAGCTGAGCGGACAGGAGGAGAGAGGGAGGAAGAGGGAGCCGGAGAGATTTTCACGGGCTGACTCTGCTTGTATGCTGATGGATGAGAGCCTCTGAGCTAGGATCGCTCGTTTCCATAGGATAGAGGAATATCCTCGGTTTCCTCTTCTGTGTTGTGTGTGTTGGTTGGTTTAATGGCGTGCCAGTGCAGCAGCATCCGTGTCCTGTATCCTTTTCGGTGCGGCAGGGATGTGAGGATGCTCTAATGTCTGAGTGAGGCGAGCTTGGTTGCTGCTGGCGCTCTGAGGGCCTGCGGAACTGCTGGAAAAGCCTAGGCCTCGCTTGTCTGGAGTGACTCGGCTCAGGAGCAGGAAGGTGGAGGAGGAAGTGGAGGAGGAAGAGGAGGAGGAGAGGCACTTTGAGCCTGCATGCCCAAGGGAAGAGGCATTCAGGAAGCCCACATTATTCTCATCAGAGCCACCGCCGCGCTGTGGATTGCTTCTCTGTTTCTCCCCTGTTGATTTTAAAAGGAGTAGCAGGTGTTTTACATCCCAAACCCAAAGGAGGAGAGGCGAGGCCCTGCACCTCCTGCTACCCGATCCAAAGACGGCCTTCTATCTCCATACTCCTTCTGATTGAAGCTCCTCCTTAACTTTTCTTCACATTCTAAGGATTTGGCTAAACCTGTTTCATGCATGTCCACTGGAGGCAGGTTTGACTTTGATGATGGGGGGTCGTACTGCGGGGGGTGGGAGCAAGGCAAGGCCCACGGCAGAGGGGTCTGCACGGGGCCCCAGGGTCAGGGCGAGTATGCTGGGGCCTGGAGCCATGGCTTTGAGGTCCTGGGCGTGTACACATGGCCCAGTGGGAACAACTACCAGGGTACCTGGGCTCAGGGGAAGCGGCATGGCATTGGTGTGGAGAGCAAAGGTCGCTGGGAGTACAGGGGGGAGTGGACCCAGGGCTTTAAGGGCCGCTACGGGCAGCTGGAGAGCACAGCCAGCGGGGCCCGGTACGAGGGGACGTGGAGCAACGGGCTGCAGGATGGGTACGGCACGGAAACCTACTCTGATGGAGGTAAGGGGGTTCACACTCAGCTCTGTTCACACCTCAGAGTTCTGTTATCCGGCATGGGCCTGATACCAGTGTCAGCGTTCACAGGGTTTCAAAAGAAGATACTAAATCCTCCAGTCTGACCATTTTTCTGGTTTCAATCTGAAATGCACTGATCAGGCTTAACCAGGCCAATCCCAGGTCTATGACACTAAAAATGGAAATATCAAGATAAATGGGGAAAGAATTGCCAATCATTTGTTTTATCTGTAAAAACTGTTAAAAATGGTTAAAGACACATTAAAATCTGAGATTCACCAATCATAGTTTTTCACGCCAATTTCAATCCTGGAATACTCTGTTTTTTAAGGACTGTGACATAAAAAAGAAAAATTAATTTATTATATTCTCCTTTTTCTGTCATGCTTATCCCGAGCAGGGTCCTGAGGGGCACTGGTGCCTATCTCCAGCTGTTCAGGGGCGAGAGGCAGGGTACACCCTGGACAGTTTGCCAGTCTATCGCAGGCAATTAAACTATTAATAAATAAATTGATTAGCTTATACCAATTTTTCAAAGGACAATACCTGAATACTAAGAAGAGAGAAAGTGAATTAAGTAGGGTGATCAGGGTTTTTCCAAGTGGATATCTAGTTTCCCTTTTTAACTAATTCTAAAAGTTTTGTTTAAGTACTGAGTCAAATAGGAGTCAAAAGGAATAAAGATGAAACGGTTGTGCTTTTCTTGGCATATAAAATAATAAAACTAAACACAATGACCAGGGTATTCCTTTCAATTTATACATTAAAGGATGTTGCTAACCCTCCCCAGTAGAAAGTAGATCAAATTACACACTTAATTTGACTTTTCATGTATTTATTATTAATCAAAAAGAAAATCTGATTTTTCAGAGTTAGACCTAAATAAGTTAGAACAGTTACATTTCAATTTCTGGTCATTTTTCATTTATATAATAATAATAATCTACAATATAATGATTTACTTATTACTTATTATTTACGTATATGCTTTTTATCCTTTTAATGTTAATGTTTAGTTTTTTTGCCATTTGGAGCATATAGCAATCTAGTTCCTCCCCCATTCCCACCTGTTGCTGCACACTGCTGGTCAGTTAGCTGAAATTGGGTTTTGCTAGCGAAAAGTTACATTTATCCATTTCATTATATTTGGTCATAAAAAGTCAAACACTGTCTCATGAATGTTTTTAAAATGATTATTATTTATCTGTTTATTTGTGAAGGGTCTTTAGCTTAAAAGCCTTTTAATAAAACGCTAGAGTAACTAGAATTTTATCCAGCAGTATGGAGTATACTACCCAGCAGTATGGAGCAGTATACAGCATTTAGTTCCTATACTCCACTTATCTGGAACAAACTTCCAGAAAACTGTAAAAGTGCGGAAAGCCTGAGTTCCTTTAAATCAAGACTAAAAACACATTTGTTTAGGATTGCCTTTGACTGTTCTAGTTAAACAGTTCAACTAAAACATAATTAGTTCAACTTTTTTATGTTCTTAGTCCAACTGTTTTTAATATTCTTTTTTGTTTCTGCATTTTTTTTCCTACTTGGTTTGATTCTGTTTTATTTTCTTGTATTTTAATCATGTAAAGCACTTTGCATTGTCTTTGTATTGAATTGTGCTATACAAATAAGTTTGCCTTGCCTTGCCTTGCATAGAGTAAGACAACACCTTCTATCCTCACCTGTTGCTCTGCGCTGCCATGCAGCTAAAGGTTGGCTATCATCTGTCTAGAAACAAAACAACTAAGCTGCATGGGAATATTTCTAAAATATACACTCCCCGGCCACTTTATTAGGTACCCCATGCTACTAACGGGTTGGACCCCCCTTTTGCCTTCAGAACTGCCTCAATTCTTGGTGGCATAGATTCAACAAGGTGCTGGAAGCATTCCTCAGGGAGTTTGGTCCATATTGACATGATGGCATCACACAGTTGCCGCAGATTTGTCGGCTGCACATCCATGATGCGAATCTCCCGTTCCACCACATCCCAAAGATGCTCTATTGGATTGAGATCTGGAGACTGTGGAGGCCATTTGAGTACAGTGAACTCATTGTCATGTTCAAGAAACCAGTCTGAGATGATTCCAGCTTTATGACATGGCGCATTATCCTGCTGAAAGTAGCCATCAGAAGTTGGGTACATTGTGGTCATAAAGGGATGGACATGGTCAGCAACAATACTCAGGTAGGCTGTGGCGTTGCAACGATGCTCAATTGGTACCAAGGGGCCCAAAGAGTGCCAAGAAAATATTCCCCACACCATGACTCCACCACCACCAGCCTGAACCGTTGATACAAGGCAGGATGGATCCATGCTTTCATGTTGTAGACGCCAAATTCTGACCCTACCATCCGAATGTCGCAGCAGAAATCGAGACTCATCAGACCAGGCAACGTTTTTCCAATCTTCTATTGTCCAATTTCGATGAGCTTGTGCAAATTGTAGCCTCAGTTTCCTGTTTTTAGCTTAAAGGAGTGGCACCTGGTGTGGTCTTCTGCTGCTGTGCGTTCAGAGATGCTCTTCTGCCCACCTTGGTTGTAACGGGTGGTTATTTGAGTCACTGTTGCCCTTCTATCAGCTCGAACCAGTCTGGCCATTCTCCTCTGACCTCTGGCATCAACAAGGCATTTCCGCCCACAGAACTGCCGCTCACTGGATGTTTTTTCTTTTTCGGACCATTCTCTGTAAACCCTAGAGATGGTTGTGCGTGAAAATCCCAGTAGATCAGCAGTTTCTGAAATACTCAGACCAGGCCTTCTGGCACCAACAATCTTGCCACGTTCAAAGTCACTCAAATCACCTTTCTTCCCCATACTGATGCTCGGTTTGAACTGCAGGAGATTGTCTTGACCATGTCTACATGCCTAAATGCACTGAGTTGCCGCCATGTGATTGGCTGCTTAGAAATTAAGTGTTAACGAGCAGTTGGACAGGTGTCCCTAATAAAGTGGCCGGTGAGTGTATTTAAAATATTGCAAATAAAACTTATTGTTAACTTTTTATCAAATTTCTATTATTTGCTCTTAAATACAAGCAAAAATTTTCCAATTTTCATTGTATTTTATAACATTTCTTTTATCCCTTAAACACATGGTAAACACATGGGGGGAATTCTAGAATTAATAATAAGTTTCATATGGACAGAAATTAATTCTACTTATATTTGATTTTCTCTGGGTGTAAATGTATATTTTATAAATTTCTGTCTCTTTATTTACTGAGTGCATTTATTTCTGTTTGTTTTAAACTATAATGTCATTAAGAAATATACATTTAACTGATTTGGGTTTTTCTTTTTCTTTGTTAATTAAAGTACTACTTCTTTTTATGTTTTTTTAATTCACAATGGGAAAAAATGAAAGGGAAATAAGAAAGGACTTTTTTAAAATATTGTTTACACAAGTCGATATATGATATAAAAAAAAAAAAAAAAGTTAACTAAATTCAGTATTGTTCCACAAAGAAGCTCTCAGGCTGAAAGTAGAGCGACTTGCTTACTCTGCTGCTGCTGTAACACATCTCCAAAGCAGGCTACATAAATAACATGTAGGTCAGATCCACATGCGCAGATAGATTACACAGGAGTCGACCAGAACCTGCAGCAGGGGTCCCTTAGGTCTTAGGTCCATAATCTAAGTTAAGGCTAAAAACATCTAATATTAGAACAGAATTTTGTATTTTTTATAGGGTAATAATTTGCAAATTCATGTTTTCCAAACTGTCATAATTGTCAGACGTTCATACATCCCTATTCTGCCACTTATCCGTCAGGGTCATGGTCAACACTCTGGACAAGGCCAGGCAACACAGAGACATGCAACCATGTAGACACTAACCTAAGGCCAGTTGTACATAAACATTTGTATATGAACATGCAATCTCCATGCAAAAAAAGGCCAAATTAGACAGAAAAAGTCCAGATCACTGGATCCCTGTATTATTTAGTTTGTAATTTAGTTCTTTCGGCTGTTAGTTGTTTTCGTGCTTGATAGAATAAACACCTGGAGCTAATTTCTTCTTTTGTGGTTTTACTCCAAGATGTAGCAACTACCACCTATCCCTGCAAATATTATGCAAAATCATACAAAATAACTTTGTAGGATCATGAAATGACATAAATGACAAACAGGCATCAAAAGACAAAACAAAAAAACAAAACAGCTACAAACTTGACCAGAAACAAAGAAATGTAACTTTAACTGCTGTGGAAACATGAGGGAGAGCAAATATGGCTACAAAGAAAATAAATGAAGAGAAGGCGAAAGAGTGAGGCATTAAATAATAAGAAAAACAATAAGGAAAAAAATGAAAAGTAATTCAGTTTTTTTTCTCAGATTAACAGAAAAACAAACACAGGACGTGTCTAATATTAGAAATCTTCTGTTTCATCCCTTTTGACAACACACCCTCACCCCATCTCACCCCTCTCCCCCCTGTGATGCCAAATCGTCATGGTAACCACTAGACAGCAGGTCAGCATGTCGCTGTGGACCAGCTCGGTGCTTTGCTGCTCTCTGATTGGCCACTGGGTGATGCCCATCCAGTGTGTTGTTTCATTTATTACATCTGACTTGTGGGGATTGTAATGTAGGCCGTTTCATAAGATGTTTCATCCCTGACAGAGGCTGAATTTTAATCCTATTGTGAGCATTCACCACTGTTCTCACTGTAACACTGCAGGTTAAAAAAAACAACTGCGTCACGCCTCCTCTTGCACTCACGTGGAAAACCTCCGACAGATGAATATGGCACGCACGAGCTGACACATTTTAAACAACCCAGTAAATTTGCAGGCTTTCTTCATCCACACTCGCAAATCTTCATTGTCCAGATCACTTTTGAACCAGAACTAAATGAAACTTAAAGATCCTTTTTAGTTTTACACAAAGAAGGAACCCCTGCACCGTTTTTTTTATTTCTTTTTATTTATTATCAAATCTATCAAGATTTTAGCCATAAATATGCAGTCAAAACTATTATT